AGCCACTGTACCTCTAGAATTGATCCATACTGATGTATGTGGACCAATGCAAGTCTCTACCATAGGAGGTAACAAATACTTCCTAACCTTTATTGACGATTACACCAGGATGTGCTGGGTATACCTGATGAATCTGAAATCTGAAGTTTTCAATATCTTCAAGAAGTTTAAGGCCATGGTAGAACTACAAAGTGGATTCAAAATCGAGAAGTTGAGGAGTGATAGAGGGGGAGAATACACCTCCACTGAGTTTTTGAAATTTTGTGAAGATGTTGGTTTGGAAAGACAACTCACAATTGCCTATTCCCCTCAGCAAAATGGAGTGGCTGAGAGGAAGAATAGGACAATTGTTGAGATGGCAAAGGCTATGATACATGAGAAGCATTTACCATATAATTTCTGGGGTGAAGCAGTAACAACTGCAGTCTACATTCTTAATCGATGTCCTACCAGATCACTTCATGAAGTAACACCTTTTGAAGCCTTTAGTGGTAGGAAGCCAGGAGTCAAGCACTTGAGGGTCTTTGGTTCTATATGCTACTATCACGTGCCTAGTCAACTGAGGCACAAATTGGAGGAATCTGCAACGAAGGGAATCTTCATTGGGTATGGAAAATGTGAGAAGGGGTATAGAGTGTATGACCTGCATTCCAAGAAAGTAATATTGTCTAGGAGTGTCATTTTTGATGAGAACTTAGCTTGGAATTGGGAAACACAAAGGGAAATGCCTATTTCAGTTCCACTGAATGTTGAGATCAATGATAGAATCACTGAGCAAGTGGAATCAGCACCTGCTTCAGATCAAATACAAAGTGAGGACACTACTGGAACACAAGATTCAAGCGTAAGGGTCCAGAATTCAGCAACTCCTACCTCTACACCGGTTAGGCTAAGAAGCTTAACTGATATCTATGCAAGGTGCAACATGTGTATCATAGAACCAGAAAATTATCAAGAAGCTGCAAAAGACAAAGCATGGCAGGCAGCTATGGATAATGAGATCTCCATGATAGAAAAGAATGAAACTTGGGAGTTGGTGGACAGATCTACATCCAAGCCGGTCATTGGAGTTAAATGGGTATATAAGATCAAACTCAATCTTGATGGTTCTATACAAAAACATAAGGCAAGACTAGTTGCTAAGGGATATTCTCAAAAGCCCGGAGTGGATTTCAATGAGACCTTCGCTCCGGTAGCAAGGATGGATACTATTAGGACACTAATAGCTCTTGCAGCCCAGAAAGGTTGGAGATTGTTCCAACTTGATGTCAAATCTGCCTTCTTAAATGGAACTCTACATGAAGAGGTCTATGTAGACCAACCTGAAGGTTTTGTAATTCAGAATGCAGAAGAAAAGGTTTATAAGTTAAGGAAGGCATTATATGGCCTGAAACAAGCACCAAGGGCCTGGTACGAAGAAATTGATGCATATCTCATCTTAAGTGGATTTGAGAGGAGCCCCAGTGAACCTACACTTTATGTTAAGGTAAGAAATGGTACTGAAACTATAATCATCTCAATCTATGTGGATGATATAGTTTACACTGGCAGCAGTGAAGAATTGATGTCAGAATTCAAGTTTGATATGATGAACAGGTATGAAATGACAGACTTGGGACTGCTGCACCATTTTCTTGGCATGGGGATTCTGCAAAGTGAAAAAGGGATCTTCATTGGGCAAAAGAAATATGCTCTATCTCTGCTAGACAAGTTTGGTTTGCAGAACTGTAAACCAGTGAGCACACCACTAGCTACAAATGAAAAACTTTGCAGGAATGATGGAAGTGAATCCACTGATGAAGGAGTTTACAGGCAGATTGTGGGCAGCTTGCTATATCTAACTGCCACTAGGCCTGACATTATGTTTGCTGCATCACTGTTGGCAAGATTTATGCACTCTCCCTCCAAGAAACATCTTGGAACTGCCAAAAGGGTCCTAAGATATATACAAGGGACCATTGATTTTGGAATTGAGTTTGAGAAGGGAAAGAAAGCTGTACTTATAGGATATTGTGATAGTGACTGGAGTGGGTGTGAGGATGACATGAAGAGCACTTCCGGATATGCATTCACATTTGGAAGTGGAGTGTTTTCTTGGGCCTCTGTGAAGCAACACAGTGTTGCTCTCTCAACTGCAGAAGCCGAATACGTCAGTGCAGCTGAAGCAACAACTCAAGCCATTTGGCTAAGATTTGTGTTAGAAGATTTTGGGGAAATGCAGGCAGAAGCTACTCCACTTATGTGTGACAACACATCAGCTATAGCCATGACTAAAAATCCAGTCTTCCATCAAAAATCGAAGCACATAAATAGAAGGTACCATTTTATCAGAGAAGCACTGCAGCAAAATGTGATTGACATCATGTACTGCAAAAGTGAAGACCAGCTTGCTGATATTTTCACTAAGGCTCTTCCTAAAGCTCGTTTTTGTTTTCTCAGAGATCTCCTTGGTGTGAAATCAATTAACAACTTAAGAGGGAATGTTGATAGTTAAGTTGTTTTCAGATTTCCTTAATTGTCTTTGTATTGTCTTATATGACAAGTTTAGGTTCTGGATCCATTAAGGTCTCATATGTCCTTGTAATAGCCATGTGTCATCATCATATTGATGACCTACTATGTACGGCTAAGATTGGATTTAGTGCTTAAAAGAATGAAAAGGAATGTTGGTTTTATTCTCTGTAAAGAAACAGAGCAGTCGCATTATTCCATCAGTGAAAAGAAAATTGCAGAAAGCTTTTCTTTTTCCCAGTGAGTTCAGTTTTCTTCCTTCTTCTTCATACTTCAACCCAGAAATTAAACACTCCATCCATAAACTTCAACATAGAATTCTCTGAAATTGTGTGAAAATAGAAAGATTCCGGATGAAAAATAAACATTTTTGTGACTTGTGAGGTTTAATGACAAAAACATACAAAGACAGTCTTGGCATGAAATGCAAAATAATACAGATTTTCTAAGTTTGGATCTACGGATGTGTCTTAGAAATCGAAGGGGATTATAAGCTTCCACGTCTTTGCATGCCAAGCCATATGACCGCATAAAACATAATCAACATTTTCTTCTTCTTTTATTGCTTAGTATATATGTTGAAATATTTCACATAGATCGTATCTCTAAAAACAAAAAATGTTTAAATATTTTAACTTCAATCCAACTAATACCAATATTTTTTGTAATAAAACTCATACCTGATGGATTGTGCAGGAATTACCAAGTAAGGAACAATATCAATGCTGTTAGTAGTGGAACCCGTCTTTCTAATAATTTTACAATATATGCATGTTACAAAAGCAATACAATGAAGGTTTGAGAGGGACGAGTTAGCGGCTTACTAATAACTATACACACGTATAGTCTCTCAATCTTCATTTTATCACGTACACAATATGATAGGGGGTGAGGGTTTTATCATTAAAAAAAAAACTAAGCGTAATTAAAAATGAAACTACATAATATAAGTATATCTTCAATTGAATCACAAATCCATTCACACCAAACCGGTATGACCAGGTCTAATTTATCATTTAATTCTTGGTTGCAAGGATGTTCAAGTAATTTCTACGGACATGTGGAATTTGTTCCCTATAAATTGAAATTTGATACACATTTTATATATGAGAAACAATTACCCTTTTTAATGAAGTAAAAAAAAATATCGAAAAGTCAAATTAATTTGTAGAATTTATGGGAAAGACTAGATATGTCATCTTCAAAACCTTCTCTTAAAATGTAATAGGGTATGAATACTATGTACTAACCATTCTAACCTTGCAGACCGTTTGAACAAAAAAACAAAACAAAAAACCAAAAAAAAAAAAAAAAAAACAAAAAACTTTGCAGGCCAAGTAACACTGCGACTAAGTTACTACTTTTTTTTTTTTTTTAATTTATTTATTTTTAACAAATGATATTGTCTACATTGAGAAAAAAGAGTTAGCTTAGCCTCACAATGAGCACCATTAGATCGTAATACCAAATTGCACTATTAAAAATGGATGGGATGAGGAAAAGCGAAGATGACAACTCAAGTCTTCTAGTGCTTGTTTCATCTACTTCTCGAAAAAAATTTCATTGTGACCAAAATACAAGTAGTACATCACGAAGTTTTATATAAATGATGGAAAATTTTATTTATCCCCTCCTCCATGGCAGCCCGCCCAGTCCATCACACTGCAAGCCTACACACATGGCGCAACCTCAGTTATCTGTGTGGCTTGTTTGACAAAATTCAAAATGCGACTACTAGTCAACCTTCTAATTGATCTCTCATAGCATTTTTTAAATTATCTTATTCTGGCTTCCTCATCGCTCATATAGGATGCGTAACTTATTGATCATGTTGATTAACTAATAGGCATGTACTGCCAATCAAACAGCTGTAACAACGATATATTCTACTCAAATGGAAATTGGTATTGGGTTAGATCACACACTGAGTCGCCACTAATTACATATTAGACTCAAACAAATATAATACGTCATCATTATCCATATCATTTGAATATAAGATCTCTCAATTAGATAGAAATATTATTAAACAGTAGTACTAGTTAGTTAACTAAATTGTATGATCAATCAACTCAACTCATACATAACAATATTTTGTTCATTCACTTGATCATTATATGAAAATATGTCCACAAACCATTTATATAATATGGGATTTAGTGATAAAGAAAGTATGTCCCTCACCATCCCCTTCTTTCTATATACCTCATTTCTTCTATGGTTTTTTTTTTTTTTCCTATTTTTAACACAAAAATAAATAAATAAATTCGAAAAACGAAATATTTATAACACGGTGGTTAGTTTTACGGAGTAAAACTTAATTTATTAGTTATTGTAGGTCAATGTTGATACCTAAACCAGTCCAAGACCAAATACTATTCCTTACCTACTTTTTAGTTTGCGCGTTCGTTTTACCAGTCAGCGTTGAAGACCCGCAATTACTAGAGAGGGGTCGACTCCAACAGATCAAACACGTTCGGCACGCTATACGCGTATGTACAGCCCCCCTTGGCTCCTAAGTTTATCATGAAATCATAAGTTCAAGCTAACTAGCAAGAAGCAGGCAATTAAGATATATTCAACGACGATGATGAAGAGCCAAGTAGCTTCCCTCCTCGGCCTCACCATGGCCATCCTCTTCTTCTCAGGTATTATTATATAAAACTTCTTATTAATTTCTTTTCCATTTTGTTTCGTATTAGTCCATAATATGCATGCCTGCCGGATGCAAATACTAGAGAGGGGATGACTCCAACAGTGTATGGGATGAGAGAATTTGAGAGTGTAGAATTGATCCATATCAGAATGTTCTGATTATTTTCGAACCATGTCACATACGGAGGATTCAGAGTAGATGTGCAATTTCCAGAGAAATCAAGAAGAAATATGGGCGGAGCAGTCATCGTGCCGTCAATAATTCTGATGAGATTGTATCGGCAGAAGATCAAAGCAAACAGCGCACTTCAGGTGAGATAGTTCATTGTGGTGAGCTTAATTGGAACCATAGATTCAATATTATTGATTGTAATCGAAGAAATTGCCGAAGGAGTTGAGGAATTAGGGCAAGAATTCATAGGAGCATAATGAATTTGAGAAGCAGATTCAGAGGAGGGAGATCCAGAGGTCGCCATGGCTGGATTTTTAGGGTTTGGATCTTCAAAGAGGAAGACAAGTGGGAAGCGGAAGAAAGGAGGATCGAAGGGTCGTTAGACACGGGCGAGAGATACCATAATAGGAAAATTATGCTTTCATTTCATAAGGAATAAGATTACGTGTAGTTGTACATATACTGGTGACTAACTCACTGGTATTAACAACTAATTACATCTTGTCTAACTAATTACAAAATTGCTACAACTGCCTTATGACAAATTCAATGGTCTTGAGTAGACTTGTTTACAATATTACCAGTATTACGCTTTACACTATAACAACGTTAAAAGCGTAGGTAGGGAGTCTAAAAGAGAATAACAATCGATGATGAGTAATGCGGATACATAGAAGTGAGTCAGCCAATGCTGTGATGAGGGCATGAGATTAGATGAATCATCCTCAAAAGTATATTTATAATAAAATTACTAATTAGTTATGAAAAAGTTTGTAATATGATTTCAAACCGTTTATTGATTTTTGGATAATGCTAAGGAGACTAAATTTATAGACAAATTTTTGAAAACTAAAGAATATGGAAGTTGATGACTGGTTTAGTACTTAAACGTTAATAAAGGTGTTCATGCTTATTGGTGACCCATCATTTAGTCTACAAATTTTATCTACAAATTTAGTCTCTCTAGTATTACCCTTTATCTATTTTTAATTTGATATATTTTACAATTGTATTTAGATTTCAATATTCTTAGCATCTATTTTTATGTTGAATATAAATGTAGGTGCACATGCAGCAAAAATCACTTTCACAAACAATTGCCCCAACACTGTTTGGCCAGCAACCAGTGGCCAACAACGTGAATTATCACTCACCGGGTTCAAACTAGCATCCAAAGCTAGCCAATCAATGGACGCTCCATCCCCTTGGTCTGGTCGCTTCTGGGCCCGAACCAGGTGCTCCACAAACGCCACTGGAAAATTCTCCTGTGAAACTGCAGACTGTGGCTCTGGTCAGGTCGCATGCAACGGCACAGGCGCAGTTCCACCAGCAACTTTAGTAGAAATGTCAATCGCAGTAATCGGGGATCAAGATTTTTACGATGTTAGTCTTGTTGACGGCTTCAACTTGCCCATGTCTATCGCCCCACAAGGCGGCACGGGCAAGTGCAAGGCCTCGACTTGCCTTGCGAATATTAACGCGGCTTGCCCAGCTCAATTACAAGTGAAAGCGGCTGATGGGAGTGTCATCGGTTGCAACAACGCTTGCGTGGCGTTCAACGAGCCGAAGTACTGCTGCACTCCACCGAATAATCAGCCGGAGACATGTCCTCTCACGGAGTACGCTCTGGTCTTCGTGCAGAAGTGCCCACAAGCTTATAGCTACCCTTTTGATGATAAAAGCGGCACATTCACCTGCAATGGCGGACCTGACTACGTCATTACATTCTGCCCAGATGGTATGTCTACTTCCAGCCACAATATAAAGAATGTGACAATTATGGAGCATGTGGACCTTTTGGAGTTTGCAAAGCTTCTGAATCACCAATCTGCAAGCGCTTGAAAGGGTTTTGTTGAATTTTCAGGTCCATGGGTTGAGGGCCCCATTCCACCAACACCGTCCCCACTTTACTACCCACACAATCCATCAGGTATGAAGTTTTATCACAAAAGGTCTCGATATTAGTTAGAGTGGACTAATTCTATTTAAATTGCTTTTCTTCTTTCCCTCTAGCCGATTTGGGATTCAACAGGTTTGTACCCAAGTCAGACGGGTAATGGAGCAGAGGAAACTGGACGGGAGTGTGTGTGAGGGAAACCAAATTGTTTTGTGTCTGCCGACTGCAAGACAGTGCGCCTAAATAATTGTTCTTACCAAGCGTATGCACTTGTTTATAAAATACGGTGTTTGGTCTGGTCCAAACACCTCATTCATATGCAGGAGTTTCCCTCTGACGGCGTAGATGTTTATAGTGCCTAGCACGCGCAGAACTATCAGATGAACAAATGATACTAGTGCTTGAAGCCTTTATTTTTGTTCAAAAGTGCTTGAAACCTTGGACAACTCTAATTATCAAGCAGTAACTTTTCTTTTTCTATATATCTCATGCTTGTTTTGTTTTCTAAATTTTTCAGGTAAAGGAAAGCCAATAAAGTTAATTGTGAGCCTTACAGTTGTTTGTTTTATCGGTGTACTGGGTGCCATAGTGTTCGGTTTGTGCAGAATGAGAGCTAAGCAAAAAGGTAATTAAGTGAAAGAGATCGAGGTGTTGGATTAATATAATGCATTAGCATATTATCTCTCAAAACTTTGTTAGTTGTCTCACTTGGATTCAGTGTTCGATATTTATATTTGCAAAATCAGGAGAAATCAAATTAACAAGGGACACCCTACAAGAATATATAGGAGGAAAACATGATGAGCTACTGATCTATGATTTTGAAACCATATTACTTGCTACGGACAATTTCAGCATAGAAAACAAACTCGGGCATGGAGGATTCGGTCCGGTTTATAGGGTAATTACTATTATTATTATTATTATTATTTTTACAATAGATACAGAGAGACAGACATGAATGCAGTGATTTATTTGTCAACTTTGTATAGGGTAAGCTAGCAGAAGGGAAGGAAATAGCAGTAAAAAGACTATCCAGTACCTCAGGGCAAGGTGTAGTAGAGTTCAAGAATGAAATGTTGCTGATCTCCAATCTCCAACACAAAAATCTGGTCAGAATCATCGGTTGCTGCATTAAAGAGGATGAGAAGTTACTGATTTATGAGTTCATGCCAAACAAAAGCTTGGATACTTTTCTTTTCGGTTAGTTTCACTTGCACTTTACTGCAGTTTCTCATCTTTACATTCTAGTCAGTGTATTTATTGATTATTTGATGATCAGATTCGACGAGAAGAGCAGTGCTTGATTGGGGTACACGTTTCAATATTATTCAAGGAGTTGCTAGAGGGCTTGTTTATCTCCATCATGAATCCCATTTGAAGGTAATACATAGAGATCTAAAAGTGAGCAACATTCTCTTGGATGAGAAAATGAACCCAAAAATTTCAGATTTTGGATTGGCACGTTCGGTTGAAGGGACACAGAATTTAGAAAATACTCAGAGAGTTGTGGGAACGCGGTAAGATTCATGCCTTTCCTGTATATTCTTGAACATGTCATACGCAGCCAAAGTTCTAATGGTTAGCATTGCATCATGATTCATGAACTCTTAACCGACTCCTCCTGTTTTGGATAAAAACTGCTAATTCGTTGCATCATTCACATTAGATATATTTTTGGTAACGTTTCTTAAAAGGCAGAAACCAAGCACTTATTTCAGTGACATATATACTAATGAGTTTCATGTTCGCGCAGTGGATATATATCTCCAGAGTATGCCATGGGTGGAATATTTTCTCAAAAATCTGATGTCTACAGCTTTGGGGTCTTGGTATTGGAGATTATTAGCAGCAAGAAGAATTCCGCCTTCTATATCTATGATCAACAGCTAGGCTTACTAGCCTATGCATGGAAGTTATGGAAGGAAGGCAGGGAATTGGAGTTGGTAGATGAAATGTTGGCGGCTGATTCATATTCGGCTCCAGAAGTTATGAAATGTGTGCATATTGGCCTGCTTTGTGTACAGGACAATCCGACGGATAGGCCGAGCATGCCGGATGTAATTTTTATGCTAAATGGTTCCACAAATGTAATTGGTGGTCCACAACCTAAGCAGCCTCTATTCACTATCCAAAACTCAGTCTCTCATCCTCAACCACAGCCTTCGAATAATGAAGTTACAATTACAATGATTGAAGGACGCTAAATGTATGCTCCTGACAGTGGTGGAGGTTGGGATTTGCTGATCTATGTGAATTTGGGTTGTGTTTGCTAGGATTTGTAGTCAGTTCGTATAATTTGTTGTTTGCTTTCCTTTGTTGGTGCTTAGCTAAGCTTGGCCAATCCTGCTTGCTTATGCGGCAAGATGCTGAACCTGTAGTTATATATATATATTTTTTTTTTTTAGAGGGAATTAGAGAGGATTAGTTATGAAGGAAATTCATAAATTTTGAATAATAGAACATAGAATGATTTTTAAGAAGCTTTGGAATGCCCTTCCCTTCTATTCCTTTCCTAAAGTTAGGCCTGTATTGTTAAACATTAAAATTTCTGTTTTGGAGAAACTAAATAGCTATGTATTTTTTAGTCTTTTGCTTGTATGTGTTAGCAGTGTTTAGAATTATCTTTTTGGGTATTATTTATTAGGTCCAACTTTATTGTCTTCTAGAGAGAGAAAAGAGCAGTCTTTAGAAAGAAACGAAAAGACACTAGTTGTGCTTTTCCTCCTCCCTTATACCAGATCTTTTTTTGTGTGCGGAAAATAGAAGTTGGAGTTTTATTTTTTTTTATTCATCTTTCTAGCTTGTTCTTCTTCACACCTTTGTGGGTTGATCTTGGGCTAGTGTATTGTATTACACTATTGTTGTTGTTCTCATGGTATTAGAGCCACAAAGGTGGTAACTGGTTGTTTGCTTGAATCCCTTGGTGAAGAAGACCAGCTGCTGTTGCTCCAAAAGATGGAATCTTCAAGTCGGGTTACTGGGCTCGGCATAGAGCTCCTCAATCCATCAAATTACAAGATTTGGAGATCGTGTATCGAGTCGTATCTGGTTGGTGAAGATTTATGGAATGTTGTTGGAGGAGCGTACACAACCAAACCCGAAGACGGTGCAGATGTCGATGACTTGAAATGGTGGGTAACGAATAATGTGAAAGCCAAGTTCGTGCTGAAGAGATCTGTTTCTCATGGGTTATTCGAACATATCATCAAGTGCAAGTCTGCCAATGACATTTGGGAGACTCTTGACAGATTATTCAACAAAAAAGACATTGGGAGGCTACATGACACGCCCCGATCCCGATATTCCCCGAATACCAAGATAGGCACGTGCTGACCGACACCCAAGGATGACGAAAGCCATTTATTGAGTGCAAATGCTGAAAACAAGGGATAAATAAGACTTATAAATATAAAAGAATACTGAATATGCAATTAAGGAATGTGTTCGGAGCACACATCTAATCTAGAACACTAAAAGAACTAATATAAAAATTGAATGAACAAAGGAGTAGGTCCTACACCAAGAGGACTTGAAGATGCCGATGCGGAAGTGCCTGGACGTCGAGATTGTATGCCTCGATTCTATGTCCAGAAGGGAGCGCAAAACAAACATGAGTGGACCACGTTGATACATATATATATATATATATAATAATAAAACAGTTATCAACATACTAACCTCCAGGTTTTATGAAAACATATATATATATATATATATATATCATGATAAACATAAGTTTTCCGAAACCTAGCATGTCGTGCAATGTCTCAAATCATAAATTGTATATATAATAATCACTAGTGAATGTCCGATAACCCCCAGGCCCCATGCCAGCTCCCCGTCTCTGTGCAAACAACTAGAGGAAAATTACCCCCAGGCCCCGTGCCAGCTCCTCGTCCCAGTGCTAATAGCCAGAGGAAAAACGCTTCAAGCCCTATGCCAACACCACAATCGTCGCCTGGGACAGACCGGAATCTATCCCTTCATCTCGTAGCGGAATTGGGACCACTAGCTAAGTACAAAACCATTGAACACATATATATATATATATATATATTGAAAAGCAACTTCATAGTATAAAGTCATCCATCATCTATACTATAAAGAGGTGTTCTAAATATTATATCATCATCCATCAGATATTTTATAAGAACACGGGTTATAGGAAAAATAGTAATAATTCAAACTAGCCTCAGTAAGCATGTTATCTCATAAAACATAGTCATCAAATCATCTTTTTCATGTATGCATTTCTACTATCAAAACATGCATTTTTAGAAGGAGTCCACTCACAGTACTTAGCTGCCGAAGAGCCACGCAACTAGCGAAGACGGAAACGCCATAATTAATTAACCCTAAGCACACAAAGGGTACATTTAGTCAAACTCTACTCAAACAATTGAATTTGGGAAAATGGACTTCAAAAATGGGTCAAGGACGTCAAAATTAGCCTAGGAGAGGTCCCGGACGAAGGTCAAAGTCAACGCTGACCACTAACCGGGTCAACGATCAAACCGGGTCAAAGTCAACAGATCTGGGTCAAGGGTATTGGGTTGGACCAGGTTAGGCCTAAAGGGTTTTGGGTTTTAAAGGGTTAAATGTTTAGGATGCACGGGCCTAAGGCCCTAAAGGGAAACGGCCCAAAGGCCTTTTGGATTCTTAAAAAAAAATGGGTTTAAGGGGAAATGGGTTTAGGGCTTGGGCTTATGACCCCCAACAACACACAGCCCAAAGGCCTTTAGAACTGAAATGGGAAAATGGGTTTGGATTCATGGCCTTCATAGATGAGGCCTAAGGCCTTTAAAACAGTTAATAAAAATATACTAAACAAATAAAATAAAAAGAGGTTGGGTTGGGCTCGATAGGAATGGCCTGAAGGCCTTAGACTTAAAAGGATTTGGGTTTGGGGTAATTGGGCTAGGTCTCATCCCAAATGGCTTTGGGTTTCAAGGCAAACAGGTTGGGTCGATCCGTTTTCAGGCCATGCATTCAGCCGGTTTCTGGGTCGATTTTCCAAGGCTCATAACTTCTTCGTTACTCAACCAAATCGAGTGATTCAAAAACAAGAGTCATAATTCTTGAAGAGACGAAAAGAATGGTCCCTTGTACGACAGCTAACTCGCCGTGGTTTGGCCGAATGATTTCATTCTAAACTCCAAACACGGCCAAATGTTAAGCATTAACAAGTGAGAATTAAATTTTGTATAAACTCAAGAATTCGAAGTTTCAAATGTGCCATGCCTTGGAAAAAAGTACAACCAAGATTTGGCAACCTTGGCCTATCAAATACCCCAAAAACAAAAATAACAAAGATCAATCCAAAAAGGAGTTCAAAAGTTTAGAACAGCAAACAGCATAAAAAATTACAAAACGTAGCAAATAATATAACTCGTGCAGTACGTAGACTACATACTCAAAAGAAGTAACAACCTGCCCAACTTCTACTGCTTGCAGGAACTTTTCCTCTGAGAAAATCACAATAGTCCTGCAAATGAGATGTTACACCAATGAGTGTGAGTCAGCATAAAGACAATGAACATAGAAAACTCTCATGGAATTACTATATCCACCACTGGAGAAAGAAAATTGTTATTTAATAGTCTTTCATGTCAAATGTATAATGTGTACATAAGAGTAATGCAGAAAAAAAAAATGAATTTAAAAGCCCAAAAGTAACTAAAAATCTACTTGAAGTGATGCGCACACACACATATAACAACTAAAGATGTGGTTTAGAGTCTAGACAAAACCAGATGTTAGTATCAGCTCTATTGTACCAGATTAGTCTAGAGCCCAATCAAGTGCCAACTCAGCTATGATTAAGTTAGACAATTAAATCATTCAGTTGTATTAAAGTTAATTAATAGTGTTTATTTGTTGATGAGCTGCATTAGTTAATGTATGGAATTAATCCAGTTCAAGTAATGAAAAAATAAATTCTCTCTCTTCGAAAGGGAAGTGTAGACTTCTCTCTCTAGCTTCTCTCTTGTAACTTATTAGAGCTTCTTTGCAAATCAATCATAGTGATTTCTTCATTGCTTGCACCAAATATTTCTATAGTTCTAGTCTAGTAGTCCAGTTGACAGAACAAATAGCTACTGCGATTTTATTCGCTGCTTTGAATGTGTTGTAAAGATAATACCACCAACTAAGGGTGGCAATTGATTCCTGTAATAACATACTATAAAAGTAAAGGTATGGATAAAAAAGAAAATGCTTCCCTTGTAAGATATCGGACAAACCTGAAATTCAACGAATTGGCCTTTTGTTGAAAAAACCCACACACTGGACCTTGTTCTTTGATGTAACCAACGGCAATAGACTAAACTAGCAAATATAGAAAACTTGGAAACACACAAGACTTATACTGGTTCGGCAGAACTTATGCCTACGTCCAGTTGTGATTTCCCTAGGTAGAGAAATCACCGCTTCTTTGATTAATAATAGAGATTACAGAACTTATGCAAACCCTAGAACTAATCTCAAAACTCTCTGCTGTTTGGCTGTTTTCTCTCTGCTGAAAATCAGCCTTGCCGCACCCTATTTATAGATATAGGGTTGGCTTACATGTCCTTTACAGATTATAATTCCTATTCTAAGTGGAATAGGAAATTAGACTTCCTTTCCAATTCCAAATAGACTTCTAGGATTTCTAATCTAAATTGAATGAGGAAACTAAGATTCTTTCCTAGCCCTTTTAGGAGAAGAATTGGTGCACCCTTTCCCTAAAACAATCCTAAACAGAAAAGGACACAAATTGACGAGCCAAAAACTAACAATCTCCACCTTGGTGAGTCAAACCAAGTCTTGATCGTTTGCACCCCAGAGTATCTTTGAACCTTCTTGAAGTAGCTCTGGAAAACTTCAAGAGTCTTCACCTTGGCAACCTCCTTCTTGCCTCATTGCACCTCAGGTGAGGAGGTGCTCCACTTTAATCAATCAACGAGATTGATCAAGTGCAAACAATGCTTGAACTTCTTGGCCGGCACTATCTTTGTAAGGAAATTTGCGGCATTGTCATCCGTATGAACCTTTTCAATCCAAATTTCCTTAGACTCCACCCAATCTCTGATTCTGTGATACCTTGCTTCAATGTGCTTTGATCTTCCAGAAAAAACCTGATTCTTTGCCAAGTGAATGGCACTTTGACTATCACACTTAAGCTTCACACAATCTTGAGTGATTCCCATTTGACTTACCAAGCCACTAAGCCAAATTGCTTCCTTTCCAGCTTCGGCCAATGCAATATACTCTGCCTCTGTGGTCGATAAAGCTGTAATTGGTTGCAGTAGTGCCCTCCAACTGATTGGT